CAGCCCGGTGCCAGCCTCGGGGGGACGGGGCCAGCCTCGGGGGGGACGGGTGCCAACCCCGGTGCCCACGGGCGGGCGGGCGGGCCTGCCCAGATGCCCCAGGGTCGCCCCCCCCCACCGGCGGCCCTGGCCCCCAGCGGGGACCCCGGGACGGACAGGAGACGGGGCGGAGGCTCGCGGGGCTTCATTGGCCTCAGCGGGCACACGGCGGGCACGGGTGGGCACGGGTGGGCACAAGGTCCCTCCCCGCTCGCCCCCCTCCCCCCATCGCCCCCCAAGACGGACAGGAGACGGGACGGAGGCTCGCGGGGCTTTATTGGCTGCAGTGGGCACCCGGTGGGCACAGGCGGGCACGGGGCCCTCCCTCCCCGCTCACCCTCCCTCCCTCCCTCCCTTCCCCCCGCGTCCCGCAGGGCCGGATCATCGAGTGCACGCACTGCGGCTGCCGCGGCTGCTCGGGCTGACGCCCCCCGTGCCCCCCCCCCCCCCCCCGACGGAGCACCGTGCCCGGAGCATCTTCTCCCACCCTCCACGCGGCGGGGCCCGGGGTGCCCCCCGCCCCCTCCCCTCCCCACCCGTCCCCCCGGGGAAATAAAGCCTTCGCGTCTCCAACCTCCGCACCCGCCTGTGGGTCGTCTCTGGGCGGGGCGAGGGGCGCAGGGTGGGCACGGGCAGAGGGCACAGGGTGGGCAGAGGGCACAGGGTGGGCATCAGGCGGGCACGAAGCCGTCTAGGGGCGCCGTCCCGCAGGGCAGAGGGCATAGGGTGGGCAGAAGGCACAGGGTGGGCAGAGGGCACAGGGTGGGCAGAAGGCACAGGGTGGGCAGAGGGCACAGGGCGGGCAGAGGGCGCAGGGTGGGCAGAGGGAGGATGGGCAGAGGGCGCAGGGTGGGCATCAGGCGGGCACGAAGCCGTCTAGGGGCGCCGTCCCGCAGGGCCCGCCGCGGCCCGGGCGTCCCCCGGCCGCGCGCCCTCCTCCCCCCTCCGCGTCGCCGTCCCCGCGGTGCCCACGGTGCCCGCGGTGCCCGGGCCCCTCGGTCTCCTCGGCGGGCACCGCCCGCAGCCACTGCTTGTAGTAGGCGCGGAAGCCGTCGATCCTCTCCAGGTACCTGTTCTTCTCCCTGTACTGTGGCACGAGAGAGAGAGAGAGAGAGAGAGAGAGAGAGAGGGGGGAGGAGGCGTCAGGGCGAGCGACGCGGGCACCGGAGGGCATGGTGGCACCGACAACCCACCCCCGTCCCCCCCCCCAACCAGGGCACGGCAGCGGGGGCTTGGGAGGGGAGGGGTCGAGCAGAAGGTCCTGGGATGAGGGGACGGAGGTCGACCAGATGGACGGTGGGGCCAGGAGCTAACAGGGAGGTCGACCAGATGGTCCTGAGATGAGGAGAGGGAGGTCGACCAGATGGCCGATGGGGCTGGTAGATGGGTCGGAGGTCGACCAGATGGACGGTGGGGCCAGGAGCTAGCAGGGAGGTCGACCAGATGGCTGGTGGGGCTGGAGACGCTATGGAGGTCGACCAGATGGACAATGAGACCAGAAGCTAGCAGGGAGGTCGACCAGATGGACAATGAGACCAGGAGGTAGCAGGGAGGTCGACCAGATGGACGGTGGGGCCAGGAGGTAGCAGGGAGGTCGACCAGATGGACAATGAGACCAGGAGGTAGCAGGGAGGTTGACCAGATGGACAATGGGGCCAGGAGGTAGCAGGGAGGTCGACCAGATGGATGGTGGGGCCGGATGATGGGACGGAGGTCGACCAGATGGTCATGGGATGAGGACAGGGAGGTCGACCAGATGGCTGGTGGGGCAGGAAGCTATCAGGGAGGTTGACCAGATGGACAATGGGACCAGGAGCTATCAGGGAGGTCGACCAGATGGCCGATAGGTCTGGGATGATGGGACGGAGGTCGACCAGATGGCCGATGGGGCCAGGAGCTAACAGGGAGGTCGACCAGATGGACGGTGGGGCCAGGAGGTAGCAGGGAGGTCGACCAGATGGACGGTGGGGCCGGGAGGTAGCAGGGAGGTCGACCAGATGGACAATCGGTCTGGGATGAGGACAGGGAGGTCGACCAGATGGCCGGTGGCTGGGACGGTGGTGGGAGGGGCCGAGGGCGGGGCCTCCGGCTGCCGCCGCCGCCGGCGGCCGTCTCTCCCGAGTCCCCGGGTTCGAGCCCCAGCCCCTCCCCCACACCCGCCGTACCCGGTCGAAGGAGGGCGGGTAGCGGGCCGCGAACTCGAGCTGCCGCAGCACCACCTCGTTGGCGGGGACCCCCGCGCGCCGCATGTCCCGGAGGACCCGGATGAGGTAGGCGTAGTCCAGCGCGCGCAGGGCCGCGTGGATGAGCGCGCTGTAGACGTGGGCGTTGGGGGTCAGCCCGGCCCTCTGCGGGGAGGGGGGGTGCGGGGTCAGCGTGGGGGCCCGGGTTCGGATCCCGCCTCCTCCCCGGGTTCCCGGGTTCGGAACCCGCCTACACAGGTTCGAATCCCACCTACTCCTCCTCCCCGGGTTCGGATCCCGCCTCCTCCCCCTCCTCCCCAGGTTCGGATCCCGCCCCCCCACCTCACCTTCAGGTCCGCCAGCAGCTGCAGGCCGTCCCGGGCCCTCCGACAGCCCAAGGCCAGGCCGCAGAAGGTGCGCAGGTCGGGGGTCAGGCCCTTCTTGGCCAGGAGGGGCAGCAGCGCCTGCGGGGGGGGGGGGGGGGGGGGGGGGGGGGCACGGGCTGGTCTCGAACCCGCGGCTGCGGGGGCTCTATGACAGCCGGGCAGGGGCTGGCCTCGAACCCGCGGCTGCGGGGATCCAGGCCCTAAGCGGCCATTGCTGTGGGTGAAAGCCACGCCCACAGAGGGCGGAGCCATCCCTGCCCTATAAAGAGCCATTGCTGTGGGTGAATGCCACGCCCACAGAGGGCGGAGCCATCTCTGCGCTCTTAGCAGCCATTACTGTGGATGGAGGGCACGCCCACTGTGGGCGGGGCCATCGCTGCCCTGTATAGAGCCATTACTGTGGGTGCAGGCCACGCCCACAGAGGGCGGATCCATCCCCCAGGCCGTGGGCGTGGCCAAGCCCAGGCCCTGCTCCCGGCTCGCTCTGAGTGGCTGCGGCTGCGGCGACCACGCCCCGGTGGGCGGAGCCTCCCAGGCTGGTGGGCGGAGCCTCCCCTCTGCTGCCCGCTGGCCCCGGGCGCGCCCTCCCTCGGGGCTGGCGGGTTCGGGGCCGGCCTGGGGCGCGTGGGGCGGGTTCGAACCGGGGGCCCCCGGCGGCCCCGCCCGCACCTTGGCGCCCTGCAGGTCCCCGCGGCGGCTCCTCTTGCGGACCAGCGCGTTGAAGAAGGCGAGGTCGGGCCCCCCGTCGGGGCCGTCGGGCAGGCGCAGCAGCGCGGGTTCGAACCCGGGCTCGCACAGCTCGGCCAGCAGCGTCCGCGTGTCGCGGCGCGGCGGCCCCCAGCGGGACAGGCCGTCCAGGACCCCCGCGGGGCCCCCCAGCGGCGCCAGGAGCCCGGCGGCGGCGGGGCTGGGCGCGTCGGGGCTCCCGTCCCCCGCCTCGGGGCCGCGGGTTCGCGTCCCGCCGTCGCCGCCGCCGCAGTCGCGGGCCGCCATCAGCAGCAGGTTGTAGCTGTGGGGGCCGGGGGTCAGGCCCAGGCCCAGCATGTGACGCCAGATCTGCGGGGGGAGGACGGGGACGCGCTGAGACGAGGCCCGTCCTCCCCCACGTCCTCCCCCCCGACGGCCCCGTCCTCCCTCACATCCTCCCGTCCTTCCC